TTGTATTTATAAACTGGTGGAGGAGGAGGAGGCGATTTGTAATGGTAAACTGGGGGAGGGGGAGAGCTATAGTGATAAGTTGGTGGGGGTGGTGGTGGTGATTTGTAGTGGTATGTAGGTGATGGTGGTGGTGGGGACTTGTATTTATAAACTGGTGGAGGAGGAGGGGGTGACTTGTAGTAGTAAGTTGGCGGTGGTGGGGGTGGTGATTTGTAGTGGTAAACTGGAGGAGGAGGTGATTTGTAGTAGTAAGTTGGTGTTGGTGATGGGGGAGACTTGTGGTAGTGATGAGRAGGATGCTTGGGCTTCTCACACTCCTTAGAAGGGGTCTTGGGTGCATAAGCAAATGGCTTGGCCTTGAGCACAACCTCATAATGAGTCTTGGATTTCACCTTGAGCGATGCTCCCTTCTTTCCATTGTGTAGGTCAGTTGGAATGCTACAAGTTGAATATTTGGGGGCTGAGAACAATTTGGCCTTGCATTCTTTGGCTCCATATTTCTTATAGTCATAATCCTTGACCGTAATGCTGTATTTACCATCGCTCTTGGTTTTCCCATATGCAACTATGTCTTTGTCACCATTTTTGCATGTTACTTGCACAATTGCACCTGCTCCACATCATACATTCTAATTAACTCATTGTCGAAGAAGTCATAAGTTCTAATTTTACTTGGTGTTTCATCTGGTGGAAACCATGTATAGATAACATTATTAAGAATAAGAAAAGAGAAAAAAGTATTCTATTTTAGAAAAGAAGTATAAATGGCTTTATCCTTGCAAGAAAAATAGCAAAAATAACTCTTTGCTTTTGTAGAAGAGAATTAATTGCATGATATTTGTTAATAATGAGAATAGATAAAACTCTATAAATTTTAATAGAATCCAACCTTTGAGGTGTTTCTTGCCGTGAGATTTGGCGGGGTATGCCCAATCATGGCACTTCTCGCAGTAGACTTTTCCAACAACCTTGACAATGAGTGGGTGGTGATGAGGGTAAGGGTGAGGCTTTGGTGGCGGTGGCGAAGTGTAGTGGTATGGTGTCGGATGGTATGGTGGTGGTGGGGATTTGTTAAGGTGATGGAGATGGATGTGAAGGTGGTGGTGGAAATTTGTAGTAGTATTTTGGTGGAGGTGGTGGTGGAGATTTGTAGTAGTAAGGTAGTGGCGGGGGTGGGGATTTATAGTAGTATTTTGGTGGGGGAGGAGGTGGAGACTTGTAGTAATAGGGTGGTGGTGGGGGTGGGGATTTGTAGTAGTATTTTGGTGGAGGAGGAGGAGGCGATTTGTAGTGGTAGGAAGGTGGTGGAGGTGGAGATTTGTAGTAATAAGTTGGTGGAGGTGGTGGTGGGGATTTGTAGTAATATTTTGGTGGGGG